TTGTATGTGTGAGGACGTTATGCCTGCACCATAAGTATATAGCGATGATTGTCTGTTCAGCGTTTTTAATGAGACTGTACAACGTGGGTATTCTTAAACACCGCTTTTATTACTAGAGTGACTACGATTTGTGTATGCCACATGTATATATTCTTTGAAGGTTAAGTTGTATACTGGATGAATTGATTTTTAAAATGTCCGTCTCTTCTGCGTGGTGAATAACGTATTCGAATGAAATAATAAGGCGATTTGTGGTTACTTGAAAAAGGACGTACCAAGTGAGTCCCAAGGGTATTTTCAAATCAAACTTTATAGCAATAGCTTACACAGGGCGATTTTGATGCAATCGATCTTGTGTTTTATACATTAAAAAATGGCTCTCCAAAAGCCTTCAAGTGCATTCTTCGGTTCAGTTTTCTCAAACGAAGAGCTACCCTTCGCTACGAGGAAGGGGGGGGGGGGGGGGGGGGGGGAAGGACGCAATGTAAAGATTACAAATTGACCAAAGCACATTCACTCAAAATGTATCGCCGAATGAGCAGCTAGCAAGCGTTGAAGGGTCACTGTAGTAAGAAGCAATAATTTTTGTTCTTACAAAACGCACCAATTTTGTACGAACAACGAAGCAAAAGACAGACCAAACCTGGACGTCAATACATTTCAAATTAAGTGTACAAACGCCATTTGAAAATTAGTGTTTGGCGCCTATGATTCAAAAGCACGAAACGAAAAGGTGAGCTAAGTCGCCGTTTCTTCCTCTCTTTCTTTCGCGTTCTCGTTCGCTAATTGCAATATTTAATCGCAAAGGCGGAGCGAAGGAACTGAAAGATAGATAACAGTTTCCGCAGCCTCTCTTAGAGCGAATACCAGTTAGGGAAAAAAACGGGATTGGGATAAGCGGAAAAATCAGCATCATGGACAATTTGAAATTAACATTTTTTGTGCTCTTTGAGAATATTAGTGACATGAATACTTTTACGTGAGCATACTTGTTCGACACTAAATACTCACGTAGTCTCGTAAAAGAGATTTGGTGCGCGTGAACTTCGTTTTAAGTTATTGCGTAGGTCTATTACGTAGTTGAAAAAGGGCGAAATAAGTGAATAAGAACAGTTTTTAGTGGGTTTTCGTGAATAGGATATTCCAACAACTTAATTAATTCTTGGAGGAATGTGACAATTTTACTGTTTAATACCTCCCCATGATGGTGCTACCAAAAGTTTGAAAATAAATCAAATACGTTCAGTTTATCTCGCAATCATCTGAGGTAGACCACAGAGAAAAGCGGACCTTGGAATAGTGTCCCCTCAATCTTAGCGTATTTAAACTGAAGCGCTTATTTTGACCGTTTGAGAAGGCTCTATCACACTGGTGAGACGTCAAATTAAAAGTTCATTACAACACATATTTGGACACTTTTTGATTGCATTAAAAACGTCAAAGGAACCTTTGAGGCACTTTTTTGCAATCTATATTGCTTACATAGTTTTTGTGGTTGTAGACTTACCTAAACAGTGAACAATTAATGGTCAGACTGCGCGTTCTCAGTAAACATACTTGCGTACGGGGTTACAGGAATAACTAATAGAAAACATTCTGCCTATTTCTAACGTTACAGCAGCTCTTCGGTAATATTGAGGTGGTGCATTTTGCCTACAGCCGGGAAAATAAATTCTTAGTATTTCTATCGGCGGTCGCCTCTTATTGGCTACTTGTGACCACGTGACAACTGCCGGTAAACTATTGATTATCGTTATTCTCCCGGCAAGAATACTGAGGCTGCAAACAGTTTTCAAATTAAGTACAATAAGGATTGAAGGAAAGGTACTCAGGCATTGCCGTGAGTATAAACCATAGAAACAAAACACACCGTGACACACACACAAGCTGCTGCTTAAGAGAGTTGAAAACGTGGTTGTGCTACTTATAATGCTTGCTCTTTGTGGGAGGTATTTAATAACAGCGCAGTAGACCCGCAAATTCATAAACACGGCGCTAAAGCCAAGCGCGACAACGGATGCACTATAGACAAAGTGCACCTGATGGAACTTCAATCATTTTTGTCGGCTTTGTTGCTGCAAACGTAGGTACTTCCTCTTACCGTGTATACAATATTATAGTAATTAGTGTTAGTTTCAATGTTTGGGCATCCTGCATGCTATCCTCCCAATGCAGTTCTTGACGCTTCAATCGTTCCTTTTCAGATCCAGATATCCAGTTCAAAATAATATGATGGAGCCTCCGGCAACGGTGACTATTAATGGTAATGACCTAAAGAGGTGACGGGATATAACGAAAAAAATATTCTACTGGCAGCTGTCACGTGGGTACATATCGCCAATTGGAGGGGACTGCCGGGAGATATTGTGGCTTGCTGTTGCCAGCACCGTAATTTCTTTTAAATTACTGATTGGATCGCTCGGCGTTACTATACTTAACTCAGGATGTTTCAGAGTGCATTTTCAGTTTTAAAATACCGTTTCAGTTTGATATTTTATCTGAATGTTCCAGGGCAAAAAGCAGCTGCCGAATAGCCCAAGAAACATGCTTTTCGATTAAGACTAATCAAAATATTAAGCACCGAAGAAAATCACCCATCTGCGGTATGCTCTTATCTTGAACTCGTTCTTACATATGACCTTCATTGAAAAGCACAGCGAAAAACCTCAAATGCGTACCTGACCTACCCCCGTCTCCTTCCGTGCTATAGGCTACAGGCGAGTTTCACCACGTGTTTTTGAGGCTGCTCTCAAGGCTTCGTCTTTAGGCCGCCAGGAGCTGTATAATTTTGCTCGCGAAAGCTGGCCAGCGAACATGCCGCCAAAGCTTTCTGTTATAAACGCTTGGTGCCGTCGATTTCGCTGGAGTCCCCAATAGTCACTGAACGTCAATAGATGCATGCGCGAACACAGCGTCGTAAACCAGCAACACCCACGCCATCTTACGAATGCCGTCTGCAACCAACGCAGCAAAGCTAGCTGGAGCCCATTCAAAGCTTCCAAATAGACTACACTATACGCGCGGTTACGTCTCGGTTCGGTCCACTCCGCTCTAAAAAATTCGATCATAATGTCGTGCTTGAGCGTGCACCAAGCGTAATCGAAGCCGCCAATGTTTCGGCAGGCCACCTCTTGCCGCTATCAGCGTCTATCATTACGGGGCGTTCGACTTTAGTTAGCGTTGCGGCGTTCGCTTTAAGGCTGAACCGCACGTAAGCGATTCAAACTTCTCGCTGGTCGCGTCCCTCGGTTCCTGGATTTTTAGAAAACGGACGCACATCGATTTGGTCGCGTGCTCCAGTCGCTTTCATGGGGTTTGCTTTGTCGCGCGAATGACCAAGCGTCAGCGAAGACGGTCGCGTTCGCTTGTCTTGTCGCTCGCCAAATAGCTTACCTCCGGCTTATACTTTAGCAGACGACATTCGGGAGATGGCATCTGCCGTTGTTTGGTTTAGAGTATGGCGCGTGGAGCGCGTCTTCGACTGATGTGTTTAGCGTCCTATGCTTCCCATACACCAAAAGTGGTCCCGAAGTGGCAACAAATGAGGTCACAGAAGCTGGAGTGTCATGCTGCTGCATGTCGCGATCGTTACAGTTGGTCGTAGAATTGCAAACGAAAAGCTGCCAGTAGCACAAGCGAACGCCAGTGTCGCTGTCGTCACGGCGTCTCAGTTTCTGGCTGCCGAAGTTTCCGTGGACTGTCGCACTGAAGGGAGATATCCGAAGCCTATTTCATATCTGAGTGCGTTGAAGGAACTTGTGTCAGCCCCGTTTGGCTGTGAGGTGGCGTTTTTAAAATATTTCTTAAAGGAGATAGCGTACAAACGAACACTGATTGGGTGATGTCGCATTTGTGTAGTACATGTCGCGATTTTACGGTGTATATAAATGTGTGTTTTCTGAGGATAAACTTCAGTTGCCAGTAGCGCTCTGTGTTGTTCGTTTCTTTTACTCGCCCGTTGTTTTTAGCTCTTTTACCCTCACAAACATGGATCACCAACTAGCCCAAGTGTATGCCCTTCTACCGAAGAGAGTGACCTGTAGGAGAACAGGCGTCTGGCACATCGACCAACGTTGTTGGGACGCCGCCAGGATAGCGACCGGCGACAGCATGACACTTTTATGACGTCCTACGCGGAAATCAAGGAACCACTTTTTTGGACGAGGTACACACGCCAGTCGGAGACACGCTCCAGGCAGCATAGTTAGACGCTGTGTTAGCGAGATCGTCTATAAAAAAGACGCTTCTGTGCTGTGGTCACGCTGACCAAAGCAGACGAACTTTATTGCGCTCAAGAAGACGATTGGATAGTGGGACAAGGTGCGTATTTTGGATTTTCAATGTGCTTTTAAGAGGCGGAACGTCAACAAAATAATTTAAAAAGAAGGAATTAATCTAGACGACTAGTATTATCTAGCGACTAGGGTATTGACAAGCCTTTGATTAGAATTATGTTTTTAGCTCGCAATTTGGACGAAGTTTTCAGCACTGTAACATGAAGCCATACTACCGATGTGTTATAAATTAAATAAATAAAATCGACATGAAAAAGGGCAATCAGAAGTTCACAATCTCCCTTCGGCAGTCTCGGAAATCTGTGGGCACATAATTAATAATATAGACATGATTACATAAATAGGAACAAGAGCGTGTTGACCAAATATAAATGAAATAAAGTAAAATAAAATCAAGACGAAAATATTTCCGCTCGTTTTTTTGTTGTCATCTAATTTTAGCCTCATAACAGAGGATAAACACAGGCATTTTTTTGTTTTTTTTTTGGTAGAAATGAATAGTAAAAGAGAGCCCCGCCCTACTCGAAACTGGCGCGTGTGCTCGCTTTCTTTTCGTCTTGTGTGCACATCACGGGATGGCCAGATGGCTCGTTAACATCTTCATTCAAACTTTACCATTTTAGAGCTACAATACAAAGGAAAACATTTAAAAATAAACGATATGCGCTGGCATGTGTTTTTTTTTTTTTGTGATTTGTACCTGAGTTAGTCGGAGTTGGAGATTAATTCTTTCTTTACATCCACGGTTTCTGTCGGATTTCGAGGGACACAGGTTCCATTATGGCACTCTCCCACTGTGAGTTTCAGGTCACCAGACTCTGTATCTTCCCGAGATGCCTAGGTTAAAAATAAAATGAAACATGCACGTGAGAGCTTTTCATACGATGAAACTCAGAAACGCTAGCTATGAGGTGTCAACTTTGAGAAATAATTTCAGGCAGAACATTCAGTGTGAACTGTGGGCCAAGTATTTCTCGTTCCAAAGGCTATGTAAAAAAAAAAAAGAAAAAAGTTGCCACTAAAGCGTTGCTTGAGATTCAAATAAAACTACAGTTTCGTCACTGGCAGCTAACGAAACGTAGCGCATGGCGAGTTTAAACATGTTCTCACTACGCAGCAAGTGAGATGGCGGTACCAGGGCGTTTAAGTAGATCGTTTTCACTTTCCGTTTCGAGCCTGCGCAAATACGCATGCTCAACCGGCTTCGCTGAAACTCAGAGCAGCCGCGTATGCGCAGTGGCGATTCCGCCACTCCATAGAGCTGACCGGGCGCATGAAAGTGGTCTACCAAAACTCGCTATTAACTGATAAGAAGACTCGGAAATAAATCGCGAAGCAAATAAGGCGAAGATATTAAGCCTTGCCCTGTGTCTCTTAAGCTCCAAGTGACTAGAGTCTGTTGCAACATAAGAGCTACAGGAGAGGCCCAGAAAAAGAACAATCGCTCCACTTAATGAAAGTTAACTCGGGCTTTAGAAAGAAATTTATTTATACAGGCGCCAACTAATTTTTAGAAAATATGGTAGACGTTGTCGAATGCACCTTAACCTCCGTGATGTCAGAAGATCTGTGATTTTGCGCTGAGCAACAATAATAGATTAGCTCAGTTGTGGTATTCTCGCGGAGGGGGAACCCCACTCACCTCCTTCCATCTACTTCCCGTCGTTTGAAGCGACATCTAGATTTCTCGTTTCAAAACAGCATATTTTATATAGTACTTTAAACACCGCTTAGACGCTGTGCTTCAAACCATACGTATTCCATAGAATGCTTTGCAGTTACTATATCAGCCGTGCTCAAAACGGTGGCGCGTCGAACGGCTGGAGGCGAGCTTCTGGAGGAGAGGGGACGTACTGTTCGTGGAAGCAGCGTCTATGGGCTAGTCCTGTAACTGAGCTAATCTAGTAACGTTGGTGCTGAGTCCTGTAGTGACTTCATTCCTATCTTGAAATGAGGTGGTAGACACTTTCCTGCAGTTCTTATGTCTCAACATATTAGATTCGATGATAGCGTAAGAAACGCAGGTCGTGGCCAGTCCTCAGAAATGTATCATCACTCCACTGCCTATGAGATTGCGATCTTAGACGTTAAGAACACCCGAGAACAAATCACAAAGCTATAGTCAAGGACAGCTTAAGGAACACGGTGCGTGACCTTCACATTTTTTGCTGCATGATTCATTCTTGGGCTAATTCCGCAATCTTAATGGCTGTGTATGCTGCTCGGGAGTTGTCACTCCTTGCGTCTCTTTTTCTTTCAATGACTACAGAAGCATTCACATAATAAGCAACATCCTGCCTATCTTAGGCTCTCAGTGGCTATGTAAGCTACCATAGAGATTGCTACTTCCAGGTATTTATGAACACGTGAGCACTATATATGTACACCTTCTCTTTCGGGGAACATTATTATTCTCACGATTGTAAAAGTTAGCAGTGGCTCTACATACACTGGAAAAATAAATGTCCGGCTCGGAAGTTCGGTTTACAAGGTAAAAAGTGTTCGAAAAAACAAACAAGAAAACTACAAGTTTTCGGTGTTGTAAAAACAAACTACGCATCGCCGAGCGCTCAATGTCGGCCCAAATGTAGAGCTATCGATCCCAACCAGATGCATAAGTTTCAGACCTGACCGTTGTTATCTTATTCGGATGTTATAAGCGATTTTCCATATTTAAAATGGGGATATGATGGTCCATTACGCTGAAATAAATCACCTGTTACCGAAAACAGCCAAAAACGGACCCCCTTTTCCCGTTTCAATAGATTGAAAAAGTCGCTTGTAAATTTTGAATGAGACAACTGCTAGTTAATTGCCATCTGGTTTTGACCGCTAAAGCTAAATTTAGCCGGAAAATGAGAGATTCGGCGTTGCGCAGTTTAATTTGCGACGAAAAAACATGAATTTCTGTTTTTTCTTTTGAAAAGTGTGTGTGTGTGGGGGGCGGGGGGGCACCTGTGTGTACTGTAGCCCATAGAGTTATTATAATGTACCCTAGAGGTTCAACTGGCGCTAGTGTCTATGCGACTTCCGAGAGGCAAGTTAAAGCAGGCAGCAACCAGTCTACTTTTCCGGTGCTCCTGTGTATTCCTATGGGAAAACGTTCGTGCATTTTGTCTCCTCGCCGGAAAATAACACGGAACACTGTGGTTTTTTGGGTCGTACCGAATAGTGTGCACCTTGATTAACATTGTAGAAGTGTAATTGCGTTAGTTAGCGCATTTTTCTTCATCAGTGAACGATATTTAACTTCGCTATATTTCAGACCCAAACCTGTGGTCCACAGAAGGCGTCTAAAAACAAGGGGTGTTTCTAAGCAAAATAACAATGAAAATGAATATGGAGAGTGTTCAAGGCTCGCCAGCATTCCGGTGACGCTTTTATATACCTAATATGCGAGTTTTGTAGCTATGAAAATGACCCCGTCATGCATGAGTGGATAAGAACATTCAAAACGTAAATAATAAAGTACTTGGGCTCTAAAAGGTGTCATTTCCTATTGTTTTCTCTGCCGGGCAGCTTTTATCGGGCACATCTTCTTAAAGATTTCGAGCGTGCGGGTCATATTTTGAACGTAGAACTTCGCACACAGCAGGAATAAGAAAGCGGTACGTACTTAATTAAAATCGGAATATATCTTCAATTTATTTTAATCGAACATGCACGGGTAGCTAACGATTCAGTCTTACTACGTAGTTCTTGCCTTTTCCTTTGGTTTCCAGATGTCCTTCGCTCGTTGAAAAGCGCGGACGTCGTGTTCGCGCTAACAGTGTCCGACAGTGTACATAAACACACGTACGATTCCGTTTTAGCACCGTTTGCAATGCGATGAACTGGCACGAAAAACGCCGTAACTGACCAATAATTTCATCGGGATGTCTGAGAAATGTTCTAAGCAACCTAGTACGCACGAATTGTTCGGGATATTTGCAATAATGACCGAGCGCAGGGAAAAAATGCACTCACTTTTCCCATAGAAATGCATTACCGGAAGTCAATTTTCGACTGCTTGCTGTCTGCTTCAATTTGCGTCAGCACACTAGCGCCACTTGAACGTCTAGCGTACATTATATTAACTCTATGTTGTAGCGACTGGAAAAAATAGAATAGCAGAAAGGGCCTTTTGAACGCATGATCTCCAAGACGCGTCTCATGCCTTCCGCCATGTTTTGTCTGCGTGCACGTGCTCGAGAGGCACAAGACGTGGAACGTTCTCGAATGTAGAAAGCTCGCGCTAATTTCTCCTCCCTGCCGTCCTAACCTAATCGTTGACTACAGCTTATGGCTCCGCTGACCTGTTTTGTGTTGCAACGCCCAAACAGTGCCCATCCTTTTTTGCTCCAGACGGGAAAATAAAATTTATATTTTGGTCTAAGACGTTACAAGTTCCCCGCAAGGGACGACAAGAAAAGAAGACAACAATAGCTAAAAATTCAACGAATAAAAAACAAACTTTTTAAAAGTCGCATTGGCACCGATTTTAAGTATTATAAACTCAGTTAGTTCGAAAGCCACGCAATATTTGAGAATAATCATCTTTGAAATTATAAACTCGTCTCTTGATTAATACATTGAGGTAAGTATTTGGTGTTAAAAGTTGCACCTTTTATTTCTTTAGTGACTAATAAAAATATTATTGTTTTAATTTTGTACATTATGGTTCATAATTATTTCCTGATTATCAGGTCTGGTCCTGATATCAAAAACATAAAGATTACCAGTGTTTCATTCTTAGAAAGTAAATTATGCGTCGAACTTGCTGATGCTTTGACACCAAAAAACTCAGTATCCAAATAAATTGTATATTGTATATATATATAATATATATATATTTATATACATATATATATATATATATAGATTCTATATATATATATTATATGCATAATTAAATCATACTCATACATGTACACGAAATTCATGCCAGATGCCCTAATTAAATTCGGACTATAAATATAATATTTGTTTTTAAATTAAACGCTTATCATCAGAATGCAGATATAAAATAATATGTTCAAGTTTTTGGCACACAGAACAGGTCTAGGCCAAGTGATGCGGCAATAATGTTCGGTGAGACGGAGGACGACAATTGACGGCATTGTGCACTTTAAGCAACCGGAGGAAGTAGGCATGAAACCACGTCTTTACTGCTAGATGTCATATTTTCACAATCGCGACAATTTTAATATCGGTCACTAGCAGGACACTCGTATTTAGTCATGTTCAAGCAAATTAGTTAACACAAAAGGTTTTACATACAATGCACGGTGTGCAATCTGGTCGTTGCGTTTGATTTAACTGAGATTCACAGGACGTGCACTCCGTGGAAAGTAAATGCTGAAAGAAAAAAAAAAAAAACATACATGAAACACACGAACACGGGAACTAGTAATCGAGGTGAAAATTGTAGTATTTCCTTCCCTACCAAGGTAGGGGAGGAAAACCAACGACAGACGTAGCGTTTAGAGCCTTTATTTTTTAACCTCGACACTTTACAGAAGGGCTGCGAATTAATCGATCAAACAACTAATCCAATAATGCGTTTTTCACCTTCAATTTCTTCACTGATTGATTGGTTAAAAATGAATCATTTTATGAGGCTCTCGCGTGTGTCATCTTTGTCACTTTTAAGCTCAGGAATAGGTACCTAAGAACAGGTGAGACTTCTTCGCCTCCGGGGTTCCATATTCCTTGCTTCAATTGCCACATGAACCCTATATATTTCACGCACCTCTGTACCACGTGAAGAAGTGTTTAGAAGATCACTAACTAAATAGCTTTGTTAAGGCAGCTCGAAAATTTAAACGGAATCAATTTGCAACTAAATTACTTTTCTTTCTATGTCTTTGCAAATATTTGTTCACAAAAACCGCAGGGAACGATGACTAGTATAACTAATTTTTACTTCATGTAAATCTTGTATCAAGAACTTTGTTTCGTGTCTTACAGGTTTTAATCATTTATATAGATTTTACTAGATGACTCGTTCAAGCGCTTCGTGTTGTGTCACTTACTCTGTCTTTGTCTTGCGGCGCATTTTGTGAAAAAGTAGTCATGTACCAACTGGCCCATCTGTCACTATTGATGCAGTAAAACGTTCTTCTTTCCGTTCCTTTGCCCTTTTATAAGCTCCTCGCATTTCAAGCCATGTCAAACAAGCCAAGATATAAAATTGGTTCGCTCCCCTTGAACGTAGGTAAGGTTTTTGCAACGCTAAGTCTGTAGGGTGTGTCACGTCAGTTCGCGCAATAATGGAACGGGTCATATTATTTATGCTTACGTAAAAATATATGTGAAAGTAATGTTCTTGAAACAAACATTCAGCTCTATGCGAGCACCATAGCTAATTTTATTCCGGAGATATAAAATTGCGAAGCTATACTTCGTCTCACCCTACGATGGACTAAAGACAAAAGCTACGGACCGCCAGATCCAATCACGAGCACTTAGAAATTGCGTGGTATTGTGCCTTGATGCAGGTATCACTGCCCGCGTCTCGGATCACTGATGGGGATGGGCGGACAGCGGTTTGACTTGAATAGGAGTGAGTGACTCAACAATTTTACATTGCAAAAAAGCCACGACGTACAGCCTGTTTGCAGTGTCGAAGCTATAGAAATGCCGCGGCATTTTTGGGTTCGAAGCATTATTTGTTTACTCCTAATAAAAGGTAGGCATATCATAGTTTAGTGTAAAACGCAACTGGATCTTTTTTTTTTTTTTTTTCCCTAGAGGCGTGGATGTTGCCAAGGTTTCGCTATGGTGTTTTTCACAACCGCCAATTTCACACCGGCACATGCAAATAGAAAATATTTTTTTCCTAATTATTTTATAAAACGCTTATTACGTAATGAGTGTGACGAATTGAAATCGAAGGCCAATATTAATTAAAAAAACTTAAATTTTGCAAACCTTCTTTAATCTTCTGCAGTGTATTGAACTAGTGATGAAAAAACGTGGTGTAATGTATGACCTCCAAGAGGAAAACAAAAACAAACTTTCACTCAAATTGATCCAGCTTGAATTGAACCGAAAGAGTCTGTAAAGTGATGCTGCTCAATCGCAGGTTGTAGGAAGTCGTGCTGCCCCTAGCTTAGCTTTATACTTACATTTCCTTGCCTTGCTTCCTAAGACACCCTCCCTTCCCCCCTCCCTCCCCTCTCAAGACACGTTCAAATCGAGTGCTCTTTTTTTTTTGGTACGCCGTAAAGAGCATGAAAATACCGAGTGTTATTTTTTATTCGAACCAGACTTTAAAAAAAAAAAAAAGGCGTTTTTACTCTTACGTGAATGCCGTCTTCACTATATGTTTCTTAAAGGGACACTGACAGGGTATTTATGCTCGCCGAGGTTTTTAGTTGTACGTGACATATGAGAGCTCAACTACCCAGAACAGAATTTGCGGCTCGAAATTCGGTTTCTTTCCGCGCGAAAACCGCCGATCAAGAACTGGCCGGTTCGAGTCTCGCTCACTCTCTTTTTCGCGGTCACGGGCCGTTTTCTAAGGTATCGATGCGACCACCAAATTTAATCAAAGTCGTGGGTCACTGAAGGCACACACTCAATATTAAAAATAGAAAAAAATATGAAACCCATTTTTTGTGGCTTCTAAAAAGCTGTAAATACGTTGATTGAAAAAAAAAGTTCCACAGACAACCGGAAGCATTCTGTGCGTTCGTCGTTTCGCATATCGTGGGACTCGCGGGGACGGCGATGACAGCGGACGACGGGCGTGGGACCTCTATTTCAGAACTGTCGTTCGCGGTACCGGCGAATTCTGTCTACCGTTAAAAGAGAAATTTGGGACTGATCAAAAGAATTGGTATTCATCCCTGTACGACACGCCCGGTCACCAAGCCGATTTGTACGAAGACGTCGCCGAGCCGTCGCTCCGTTCTCGTGGCTGAAGACATCGCTCGCGCAAACGTCAAGCACGACGTGTCTACTTCGAGGTGAATATGCACGCGTACGATTTCTTTACTAGGTGCGAATGTCTCCAAAGCGTGGTGCTTCCCGACTTCGACCCGGGAGTGCTTTTGCTAGAGAAAAATCGACAGCAAACTTTCCAACTTACAGTTTACCGGCTGAATTATTACTAAGGAAAGAGATCCACCGAAAGAGAGGTGCCCCAGTAGCTTAGTGGGAAAGACGTCCGCTTCATACGCGGTAGGACCAGGTTCGATCCCCCGTGAAACTTTATTTTTTTTTTTTTTTCAAATATTTTTTGATGTCTACGTTTCTTTTTTTTTTTTACAATTATTATTGAAGAAACAAAAAAAAATATAAGAAACAAATGTTGTGGACGACACGTCGCTGAATTAAATGGTATGAGATTTCCTTTTTGACAACTGCGAACTCAATGTAATCACTTTCCACAAAATGCAAGGAGCATATAAATCAGGTAGCGTCCGCTTTCCGAGGTGCCCGTAAATGGTCTACAGGAATTGCAGCCAGCCATTGGTCCCGATCCCGTTGATCTTTCGGAAACTCTGTCGCACAATGCCACTTCTGTTTCGGACGCGGGACATGGGAGCCAGCTCTTCACGCAACATCTTGGGTGTATTCTTTTCGGAGCCGATCAAAATCCACCACGGGCACTCACTACTCATCTCCAACTCCTCAGTGTACAAAACAACTCATCTTTGAGTACAGAACAACGAGCGGAACATACATAACTGCAAAAGAATCCCACGGCGAACAGTTCCCATACGCCGCATGTCGTCTGCTACCGGGAAGGAGAAAAAAAAAAAAAAAAAACACGGTCGGGTGTAGCCACGTGACTTCCGCCACACACACTCTTCTCTCCACATCTCCGACCTCCGTCGGGTTTCGGTTTCGGTTTCGAGCAGTTGCGTCTTTTGGCTTTATTAAAAAAATACGCTACTCTGTTGCAAAATATTGATTGGGTAGTCCTCCGACACCATAATGAAGCGCCTGGCAAAAAATTAAAAAAAAATTTTGGGGGGTGTCAGTGTCCCTTTAAGGCCGGAAAGACTGAAGACGGGTCGAGACAGTCACGTTCAAAATGGTTGAAATAAAGCGAATGCTAAATGCGCTTTTCCGTGGGCTGAAAAATGTAAAAAAAGAAAGTAGAAAAGGTCTTTCCTCCACATCCGCACCTTGCTCTGACGAAAAAATGTTTTGAGTTTTCGTTTTATTTTGTCGCGTCTTATGTGGAGCCCGTCCTCCGCGCATAGTCAAACCCGTTCTAGTGTTCGCAAAATAGGGCCATTGTTTCGCGAAAAGTGTCAGTATCCTTGCAGATGCTTTTTTATTACTTTATCAAAAAAGCATTTAAGTTAGCGTTACAGTTACTTAAGGAAAAATATCTAATTACAGTTAAAAAGTTAACGAAAATGTACCAAATTTCGGTATCGCGATACAAGTACCCCGATAATATCACAGACTGGTCTTTGCAAGCGTATAAAATTTTCTTATGTCACTAGTGCTAGAAAGCATATATGCTACACGGACAACAAACTTGGAGATTTTAAGAGGGCCTTCGGCCCTACGATTTAATGTCTGAAAGAGACAAGTTGTTTACATTAATGTAAAAAAAATCCTTGATCATATCTCGCGCTGTTTGGTTCTTTATCGCGATCGCCTGGAGAATTGGTGGTTAGATGTTTCAACGACGTTTCGAGCAGCGGTGTTGAGGTGGGCTTTGATCATTCTTTTTATAAACCGGAAGTTTGTTGGGACGCCAAAGACTGAAGCACCGCCTGGTGGTGTTTGCCAAGAAAATGCTCTATTGCCAGGAAGGAGTTTCAGCTGTCCTTCCTCTAACCAAAGCCACCTCTAGCGCGAGCTTCATTCCTTTGACAAGGCTTTGGCGGCTGCGTGAGCTTTGAGCACGCACACGCACCGACGCACGGCGAAAGGCAACGGGCGCGTGCTGGAGACCGGGTGTTCGAAAGGCGACCCCGGCTCTTCTCACCCTGGCAGTGACAGGCGGAAACCAAGTGAGGGGACGAGACAACTGTGCGCGAGGACGTCAGAACACCGAGCTTTGGCGGGAATGGTTGGTGGGTGGAAGGAAACCTGGCAGCCTTTTTCTCCACTGCACTCGTCGAACACGCCAGAACGCGAAAGCCGGACGCCGTAGTTCTGCGTTCTATCGGGTTGGACGAGTGCAGTGAAAAAAAGGCATCTAGCTTTGCGTCTACCCACTACTTGTGTTGCGCTGTGTTCTCACCAGACTTGTACCGTACGCATTACAAGTAATCAAATTACTTGTAATCGATTACTTTTGGGAGTAATTTTGTAATCAGTTGATTACTTTTATTAGGCAGTAATCACAAGAGTAATCTGATTACTTTTCGAAGTAATAAAATTACTTGTAACCGTTACAATTTGTCCACGGGACACCCCCCCCCCCCTCCGGCACACGCTTTTTTTTTATGAATTGACAAAAATAAAATTTGCTTTTTTTTTTCGATCGGAAAAAAAGAAAGATTTTTGCGGACTTAGTTCGACGTGAGCGCGTTGGTGAAGTTAAATAAAAACAGAAAGAATAAACATAGGGACGGACAGAACGGAGCTGTAGGAAACGAGGTCAATCTCTTGCTATGTACAGTTTCTGTGAAATGTCCGTTTTTTTTGTTTTGTTTTTTTGTTTTTGTGCTGGGACTGGGAGCGGGAAGCCCCAGGGAAGCCACAGTACGTGACAAAGGCCATTCCGGGCAAAGTTTGAGGAAGCAGAATGTAGCTTTGTGAGTCCTTCGTTCAAACTCGCCCCCTCACGCACACACACACAGAAATAAAAAAAAAATTAAAACAATTCTGCTAAGGGTACCTACTCGCAGCCCGTAGGAGAACCAGAACCGAAGAATGCCTAAAGCGGATGCAAAATATAACAAAGGCAGTTGAAATATTTCCCCATTTCCCCTACGTGGTCTTTGTGACAAGCAATATTTCGAGTTGAGAAGTGGTCGGGGCGATCTCTTCCGCCAATGGATGCTACACATGATCCGTTTCAAATCCTGGAGCTGCTGCTCTTTTGTATGACATGCGAGCTCATCCACATGTGAGTAATAAAATGAGCGACGCAAACTTTGAGCGAGAACCCTTGCTCAAGCAAACCCCCTTAGCTCCCCCCCCCCCCCCCACCCCCACACACACACACACTGGCGAACGCCGAAATCATTAAACGTCTTCAAACGAATTCTATGCTTGTGTCCGCATTGTGAAAGTGCAACGACCACGAAGAGGGAGACAGTTTTTCTTCTTCAATACTTGTGCAAATGTGAAATATAGGTTGGAAGTAGTTCATTGTTATGAGCGCTAAAGATGTGTCTTCACACGATAAAGTAATCGGAAAAGTAACGATTACTTCTTTAAGTAATGTCCAATTACTTTTGCCGTCGAGTAATCAAGTATTCTAATCGAATACTTTTTAGCCAATAGTAATAGTAATTGTAATCGATTACTTTTTTTAAGTAACGTGTACAAGACTGGTTCTCACGTTTGGTGCTCTAACGTCCCCGCGCGCTTTCGTATCCTCCTCGCCCTCAATTTCTGCCCACACCGATGTCTCCAGGCTACAAAAAAAAATGAATGAGGCGTCGGGGTACTGCATTTCGACGATAAGGATGTCGACGTTGCAAAAACTTGGTGCCGCGCCGCAAGTTCAGTCACTCCTAGCCGAAAATGGAATGGCAAGGACGCTCCTAAGGACAGGACTGCATTTGTTCTAAGTCTGGTTGGTCCTCCTTGTGGCCAAACAGTATGCACCAAATCCACAAGGTTGACACAAATTTCTCTACGAGTAACAAAATGGGTCGCACTAACACTGAGGCAACGGAAGTGAAACGAAACAGTAAGACATAATACTAGTATAGACAGAGTTCAAATTAGAAGTACCAAAGGAAGCAAGATTACACAATTATATAAAATAAATGGCGAAGCAAACACATTACAGAAATTGAGCGATTTAAATTAGACGCAGTAATTCAATTAAACAATTGACTCGAATTGAAAAGGAGCTTCGAAAAGGAGCTAGCTGGCATGGGCGTTTCGATAGTTTACTTACCTGTCTGTTTTTATCTTGAACACTTGTGAACCCACAACCAGGCAGCCGTGGGATTGATGCTTCATCTACGACAAAAAAGCGGAAGCTTTTCGTTAGATAAGTACATGTTCAAGGCAGCCCTTAAAACCCTAAACCTGAACAAATCAAACTCTCAACAAAGAAATGTAACAAAGTTAAATACATTATTGGTCCACGAAAGCATAGTATTTCCTTATAGTGTTAATAAAACCTCAATTTGTTTCACTATATTAAAGCATATATTATTGATTATGTATTGTGAGGAGTGTCTGGAGTATTGTAAAGTAACAACTCCTTTAAAACTTTCAAAATAACGACGAAAGGATAACTAAACATTCCATCTTTAAAAAGAAGTTCCGCTTTATAAAGAGCCCCAAACAGTGACATATAATATACCCTCTATTGATGTGCAAATTATATTACCAATCATGCACATGGCACATACTTAAGGCTGGTTAAAAAAAAAAGAGCTTCAAAGAAACTTCCGGAAATACTAGGGGAAGATATGGGCTACGGTTTTTAGTTTAACTATTTGTGCAAAAATTTAAAGCTTGAACAAAAAATTAATAACACTGTTTTTCTAAGTTACAAAACAATATTTTTTGACATGTGAGAGTAATAATCACGAAAAACTATGCTCAACTTGAGATCTGTTCTGCTAAGCTACGCAATTGAACTTTCACTTGCTGAGCCTCTCTCTTGCCGTACTCTATGAAGACTTTGCCAAGGCACACCGTGAGCCAACATGAAGGAAAACGTTTTAATGAACTCTATATTCCTGTGTTCACAAACATCACAAATCATACAAAGTGGTGCAGTGTGATAGGAATAAGGAAACACGTTCAAAGCAGAAACAAAAGTCAAGCAGTTGATTGCTCGCCGAAGAGCGTTAATGTCACGAAAACTTCTATTACAGATTGTTCTAGATTGTTATATTCGAGTTTCGTTCTTGTAGTTGGAAACACGCGGAAAAAAAAGTAACACATTAAGAACGATACGACCCGACTGAGAGGAGGCATGAAAGCTACAGCGCTCAAAGGGAATGAGAAGTCAACAGCTGCGCAGACAATCGTACGTAAGAGGAATAAATCATGTAAACGACGTCTATTAAACAAAGAACATAATCCCGATTTCTGACGTAATTTCTCAGCACTTAGCCACAAAATACCTGTTGTAGATAACTTACATAAACCGCTTTATAACATGTTCAAAATAGGATGATGCAGTATGGTGAATATGATTCCAAACGATACAAGAAACAAAATAGCCACACGAAACATGCAGGTGAAGAAAATCGCTTTGTTAAGCGAGATATCGCACAGAGAGTCATCAGCGAGGACTTCGAAATAGGATACGTAATGAATGAAGTTCAAAACTTAGTCAACAAGAATCCCAAGGTCATATATTCCAGACCATCGGGGAATCACAGTGCAGAGTGAGGTGTGACTACAGATGAGCCACGCTTACTGCTGAGCGACAAAAAAGTGGGTTGTGTGTATGTTTGTACAGCCTAGAACTTGGTTTGCCTCAATGGGCAATCAGTCTCCCAGCTGTAGATGAGAAATTTAGTCAGTGCAGGACAACCGCTAGCCTGGGGTCTTTAACGTGCATCACGCAGTAGTAATACACCAACGCACGCCGGTACGATGCTCATCCAGAACGAAACGGGCATATATGTCGGGATTGAGCCCAGGATCCTGGGGTTTCCAGCGCTAGCTTTCGCTTTCCATGCTTCGAGTGGATGTGCGATAGCCCACTCGGCCATCGATACCCCATGCTGAGCGACATTGTTTTTATTTTCAGATTGTTCAGAATGAAATACTTACGCGAATACAACTTAAACACAACTAAAGCGTCATATTGAAGAAGAGCAGAAAGGAGGTGAATACAATGAAACAGCTTAATGCCGTCATATATCAACCACGTATACTTATATCTCAAATTTCCCGTCTCCATACTTTTCTGCACATTCCTCGGAGAGTCAATCAAAGAAATACACGAAAGTAACTCGACAAATAACGAGGCCAAATATATGTTGTGAAGTCTGCTATGTTAGACTGAGAGTGAGCTGAGTGTTACACTGAGCCTGTGAATATAAAGCGTCATGCCCAATGTCACAAAGCGGACTCCGCTTTTTGTGGTCCACAGTATTTTCGACCACGTCCTTCGCTGACTCACTCCTTCACAGTGGTTGGCTCACCAGGTGCTCTACGGGTAAAATGACACACGGGCGCTTCTAGATTGAGGTATAGTGTATCCGTACATGGAGAGTTAGGGTTTGCATTATCGAAGTCGAAACGATGGTATCCAAATCGCGGCGGTGGTTATCGAGGACGCGACGTGACGTCACGACATCCCCGGAACGTGACGTTGGTGTATAGACATCTGGATGATGCCTAAGAACTCAAACATATGGATGATGCCTAAGAGCTCAGACAAAAAGCGTGACACGAGTGTAGTGGCTACGGTGGTTGCTATGACGGCAACATTGTTATGCCTGAATACTGAAATTCGTGCTTTATACATTAAGTGATCCCTACGACTCAAATAAGTGTGGGAATAAACGGCGGTGACGAGTAACAGATTCACCGGAAAGGATTGATATCACCCCGACAGCCAATTTTGTATTTTCAATACGCCTTTGACGTCACTTATTTTTTCCTACGTCAGAAATGCTCTTATATTTAAAAGAAGACCTACACACAAATGAATGGTTTGATTATTCTAGGTTTTGAGTTCAAATGGGTAACCTGCCGCTCTTCTCTATTAGTGCCTACCTTCATACATGACGAAACGGAAGGACATTCGCTGGTAATGTACACTGCTTCTGCTTAAAACGCAAGGCAACACACCTCCCAGGTCGCTTAGCAGCAGAAACTGGAACCGTAACAGTAGCCGTTAGAAATTAACCGGTAATTCATATATTAAATCGGTTCGGCAAAGTTTTAATAACAAATTCAAACCACTAGGCGGATTCTTTGATTGACAACGTAGACGAAGAGGGCGTCGGAAAGTGGAGCTGCTAGTTATAAATAAGAGTAAAAGTTCAGTTTTCACTACCATATGAATATAAAAGTGTGTTCTATAGCTGCTTGTTTACAGCCTTTTCAAAAGTATGCACTTGGGAGCTATAATACTGTAACGTTCAGCTCACTTCGTCCTTCCAACTGCCAATGCTATCAACGCTATGAAATATCGAAAAAAATTAATCTTCTTGCAGATCTGGGGGACGATGAAATATTGCATTGGAACTCACATTAAGAAAAAAGTTATTTTTGTTTTCGATGATCTCTAGCGTTCTGATATCCATATATTCTATTTGATACGCTGTTTGAATGGTGCTACTTCTGGACTAGTATTAAAGAAAAGAATGAAATAATGAAAAAAATTCTTGAAACAACGAAAGGTTCATAGGAATGTTAAAATAAAATAACCTCCGCCCCACCCGGAGTGAAACTTTTTTTTTTTTTTTTTGCTATGGAAGATGGTTTTTGCAGCGTCTTGTACTGTGTGTAATATGTTCTTCCCTAGCAAAAAAGATGATAATAAATATAGAGTACGAGAGTTTTACCAGTAAAAATATTTGAGACTCCTAACCAATCAAAGGAGGCGATCACACTTTTGAATTCTTGTAACGTGATGTCACCCCGATTCATTTGTCATTGCCGACTCATTGTGTGATATCACGGCTACTTGAAATTAATTATTATGAATAACATATTTAACCTTAAATAAAACAATCCATTGAAAAGAAAGATGATCTGAAGTTTGAGAGTATTATTATTCTGGGAACCCTGTACAATTTTATAACATCCATCTGTCAACATGGTTTCCGAGCCGATAAAAACTAGTTTCGCAAATACCATTTACCTCTACCAAAAAAGAAAGAAACTAAACTGATTTTTTTACATATATTGTAACCGTAACCTTAACCGAACAGTTATAATTTTCAGTTTGAGTCGCTGCCTCTAAGGCAGTAAACTCCGTCAGGCGTCAAGTTGAAGAGGGCAGAATGTGTCCAAAAGGTGAAACCTATAACAATTTTTGGACAAGAAATCGGGGTCTAAATCCTAAACTAAAGTGGCTAAAGACACTGGGCATTCTGTGACTATCCTCGGTGTATTTGTTCTTTGTTTATATTTTGATTCTTTATTATGAACGACTTAGGTTACGGTCGATTTTTCAGTGGAACTGAGGCGTTTATATTAACGACAGATGACGGTGTAAAGCTTATATATATATATATTAAAAAAAAATATATATATATATATATATATATATATATATATATATATATATATATATATATATATATATATATATATACATACATATATATAAAGTTGAAAATCCCAAGTCAGAGAAACAAAAACACGGAAGGATTATTTCAACGTTTCGACAAGAGTCTTGCCTTCGTCAAGACTCTTGCCGAAACGTTGAAATAAACCTTCCGTGTTTTTGTTTCTCTGACTTGGGATTTTCCACTTTGTGTACTCCACGCCTTCGGCCAACACTACGCGACCATGCCCTATATATATATAGAGAGAGAGAGGGAGAGAGAGGGATATATAGAGAGAGAGGGAGAGAGAGAGAGAAAAAAAAAAACGAAGCGAAGAAAACGCACCTGAGACGGTTCTTGGAGTTTTTAAAACATATTATTGGTAAAGTTGGTCGACGTTTCGGCCTGAAACAGACCTTTTTCAAGACTGGCACATGAGAGGCACAAGGAGCGTCAATCTGACCTCTCATGTGCCGGTCTTGAAAAAGGTCTGTTTCAGGCCGAAACGTCGACCAACTTTACCAATAATATGTTTTAAAAACTCCAACAACCGTCTCAGGTGCGTTTTCTTCCGTATATATATATATATATATATATATATATATATATATATATATATATATATATAGATATATATATATATAAATATATATATATATATATATACAGAGAGAGAGAGAGAGAGAGAGAGAATTTCTGCACAACTAAGATATACTTACCATTACTACCGAGTGATACATTCATTTCTTGTTTGTATATCTCGCTGTCATTTTCTATTTTACATGTCTTGTTTTGGCATACTCCGGAGAGAAAGATTAGAGCAAAACCTGATGTTCCGGTCTCCACCTGGAAGGAGAGATATTTGAAATTCCCGCAACATTTTTCGAGAATAAACATGAGCGCCTATGTTAGCTATGCCGTTAGCGGTGTAATTAAAACAATTAATAAAATAGGTACGCGAAATTAGTTTAAACAAATACACCGAAGAACACTTTTTTCCGATCAACTTACAACACATATGTCGCCATCCTTTGGTCTGTTCCCGCTGCATCCTCCATCACAACGCTGTTTCAGGTGTATTGTTTGATCCTGTAGATTAAAAAGTACAAACTCCTGTCAAGAATGTTCTAACAAGTGGTGTTTTTATGTAATTGTACATAAACAAGCCTTACATAAAAAAGAAATCAACATTGAAATTTTAATTTTTGACTTTACTGAAACCAAGAGCGGCTTTAAATAACAATGAAAATTGTGTATGTCAGGTACTGACAATGTATATTCGTTATTAGTGCAACCAGTGCCTATCACCAAGGCAAGCCGCGCTCGCTTATCATTACGTGTACTGTATATAATAATAATAATAATAATAATAATAATAATAATAATAATAATAATAATAATAATAATAACTCTTTATTGTCCCTCCAAGTTGTTTGAAGGACTGGGCGAAAAGTTGCAGTGGCAGCTTGACAAGGCCCCTGCCCTTTAGCATTGATATACAATGCTGAGATACAATTCAAATTAAATAGTCACTCAAGATTATATACAAATTAAACTCGAAAACCACCAGCAGGGGAAGTAACAATAATGAATACTTTATGGATACTTATAAAAATACACATCGGTTGCTATACCAATGATTCAAATGTCGAAATCGGTAATCAGTGAAGAAGCTAGACACATTTTTTTCTGAAATACATTGCGGGTCACGTAACGAAATAACAAGTATTGCATTTTGTACAAAATAGATTCTTTATCGAGCAGTCTCAATAAGGAAGTAGCGCCATCTATCAAAAGGTACGCCAAACGTGCCCCGCCACAGGACACGGTCGCCTGCGTCGCCGTCCGCCATTGAACTTGGCAAGTTTTTCGGCCCCTTTTTTTACAGAAAGGGAGCTACGCTTTGTAATTTTACAAGATAAAACCGACCTGTGAAAAGCAGCTTTGACGAAAAGATTTAGATTGGTGCGTGCAAGCGCCGATTTTTTTGGCCCAAAGTAAATAGAGCCTGATTATTTCAGTCACCCTATATGTAGAACCTTTATCTCCTATGTAAATAAGCGCGGCACTAAAACAAAAATGATTCGAAGTGTGCGTATATGACACGCATGTAAAGAATCTCCACTTCCCATCCGCCGTAAACAAATAATTAGCGTAATATTTGTGTTGCGAGGCACAATTCTAATATGGTTGCGGCTCTGATATTTTCGAACGTCAACTCGAAATAGAAGCAGGTTTCGAAAACGGTCCTACAAACGCTGAACTCCCCAAAAATAATTTCAGTGTCTGGATTGAAAACTTAAGTCATAACATTGCGTCCAATTTACTTGTTATATTATTTTTAGTGGGGAGCGCTCCCCTAAACTTGCTTCTATTTCGGCACGTTTTATTTGCATCAGACAGTAAAAATGCGGCTCACTACCTAAATATCGCGCTATTACTTCCGTGGCATGATTTCTTTTTACATGTGATTAGACTTTTTTTTTTTTTTTAAGGAAGTGGTGGTTATTAGCATAGATTTGCTTTTAAATTGCAGACCACTGTATGGTGCCGCCGAACCAGAACTAAGCCGAAAACTGTTCTTTTACCCTGAGTTCTTAAAAGTTTAAATGGTCCCTAGAGTAGCGCTAAGCAAAATACAGATTCGTGAAAGCTGATAACCAATTTGAAGTTTTTTTTTTTTTTTTACACTGGTGATTTTTAATTGGAGTCTGTCAGCTGAAAAAAAACGTGTCTGAAAAGCTTATCAATTGGCTAACAAATGTGTCAAACTCGATTTCCGACAGCGGCCGCGATCGATAGAGTTATCCCATAGGAATTACTTGTTTAATTCGGCTCCCCTTTCTGTAGATAATTTTAGTCTAATACGAAATGTATGTACATACATACCCTCTACCTACAGCATTAAAATGATCCCTCAACTAAAGAGCGCTACGTGGAAGGTAATGTGCCATCGAGATTAATCAAAACTATTATCTGGGCTTTATAGCACTTGGTTTCTATTACCACGAGTTATTTGAATTGGTGACATCCAATACCTTTTTTTAGACATGATACTATCTACATTGTTAAAAAGTTAAACATAGTCAATTCTACTTTTTATTCACAATAATTTAATGAATGCTTACCCCACTGCCAAATGCGTGGCTCTTTATGCATTTAGCTTCATCCAGTCCCGGTGGTTTAAAAAGAGGAAATGCTACGCGCGAGAATCAGAAACATTAGCTATACAATTCAAAGAATTACCTTGCACTGAGACATGCATCGAACCCTTGTGCTTTCACATTAGATTGGGCGAGTGTGATTTCTAGTTCGTGATAAGAGTCCGCGACAGTTTTAGTAGCGCAGGGCATGGCTCCTTATGATCGCGACTCTTGCTTCATGATTCACTGTTCGGCATTCTTATCGGCTGATTCCTCGATTTTATTGGTTTCAAAGCAATAACGAGATGCTCATAATTCACGACTTTCTGCGTTTTTTAAACTCTGAGTCACCATGAAGGCTTCTAAGATTGTTTTTTTGTCGGCCTCATGACAAACACTTTATTTTAAAATCTAAACAACATCTGATAAAATGTTCTAACATACGTAATATCGAAGTGATCTCTCACCCATCCGAGCGGACATTGCTGGAACATTTTCTTGCATCGCTGCGTCAAAAATAAACATTTAGTAGAATTTAGTGACGTTTTAATATCCGAGAGGGAAGAGGAAGATTAAGAACTGGTATGCACTGTCATGTCTTTCTTTTTGTTTTGCAAAGCAGTACAATATCGCATTTTGCCAATCCATGCTTTAAATCCGAATAATTGTATTGTGCAGTCACCGCCAGAATAAGAGCGCCTAGAAGGCCTCACAAGTGTCCCGCTTCCAGCGTGATGCCCTCCGGCAAAACATCGGGGGATGATAAGCTTCAATCGTTCACGCGTAGCCAAAGCACGACGGAAGCGAGCAAGCACGTGCTGGAAGCTGTGCATCCACGATTCTTGCACTTCTTGTCTTGTCTGCGACTATATCTATTAATTGAGAGTAGTGATCTATTGTTGTCGCGAAATGAGAGCTCGTTATATATGTCGATATTATGCTCGAAAAAAAACATCAGGCACGCTGCTGAATTATTGTAATCAGTTGATGCTGATACACCAATTTGCAGAGCAGAGATGGGCAAATACTTGCAAAAACGAATAGAAATAAAACCACAAAATGATTTGACAAAAAACTGTCAGCTTTTCCACTGCGGTGAAGAAGGAAGAACAGAGAAGTGTTACTATGGTGGGAATGGAGTATTTATAAATGTAACGATTAAGGTGTGATTGGGTAATTGGTTAGTTGAACAATTAAAGAACCAGACATATTTACAATGATCCAGGGTTGTTATTTACTTGGTAACCACAGTGACCATGGCCTTGTGATCGTTGTGGTACACCGCCATGCGGTATACACTGACGGCAGGCAGGTTCTTTGTGAACACGAGGTTTATGCATGTACGATGCCTAATCGTGGGCACCGTAGGTTCGTTCTCGTACGCAAGCCCGAAGCGCTCGAGCATAAACGAAGTGAACCACTCAACCTCCTGGCGTGCAATGTCAACGTTAAAGTCACCCGCCACTACGGCAGACGTGTCGTCGCCGCGCATGACCCAGCCGAAGACGACCATCATGAATGCTTCTATGCCTCCATTGGGCGTCGCGGGGGTACGGACACGACGGCGACCACCGTATTATCGCGCGCCATGACGGAAAGGCTGGAAAGGTTACCGCCACCTATGAGTGACGGCGGCAACCATATTGGCTCTCTGGTTGCCGCCGTCACTCATAGATGGCGGTAGCTACCCTGAGTTTTATGTAGTTTTGTGTCGACATTTGTTTGGTACCGGACACGAAACTGGGAAAAGTAGCCCTTAACAGCCCCGCTGTAAAAGATATATTAAATTGCATTGTTAATCGCACAAAAAATATCTTCAAAAACAAAAAAACAAATAAACGAAAAATTATTGAATCTCATCATAACGAAGGTGTGAAAGAATTATTCGTTATCGTGGATATTGTTACAAAGACGCTCGTTTTGTATTTATTATTTAATCCCTTTCAAATATTTTTCAATTATATATGTCACCCATATCTTGATAGTTGCACGTTAAATTTTACCCCTTAAAGAAAAACGGCAATGCCCGAATAAAGTATAAAGAATATATGCTACGATTACCAAATGCATAAAATTAAAGTCAGAAATCTAACAATAAAACGTATTTGGCTCAAACTAGGAAATCAGGCCGAATGAATCTTGGACCGGAGCTAACAGTTCATGTAGGGCAAGGAATCCTTCTTGTACTTGAAATAAAATGTGCAAAAAATACTATTTCCAAATGGTGAGGGCGTCACGAGCTGCTGATCACTCGTAGGTTTGATAGTACAGAGACTACGGAGAAGAAAACAATGCGTGGGGCGCAGAGCCAGAGAGCTCCGACCTGAAAAACTTGCTCTCCGATAACCGCCCCAAAGTATGTTATAAGACAAATACTTGCAACACGAGCAAAAAAGCTAGTGGCTCAATTGGGCGCGTGCATTATCTATTTCAATTTTTTTTTCTTGCATATTTGTTGCGATCGAACATGCCGAAACACTGGCCTTTGACGAGTCACTCTTTAACGCCGTTTTCACACTGGCGCCTGAACCGCGTTCGCAAAGCGGTTGCGGACGCGGTAGCTTAGAGATTCAATACTATTAATTTCACGCGGGTTTGATTATGAAAAGGAGCGGATCCGCTTTGCGATTGCGATTGCGATTCGCCAGCTTGAAAGCACCTTCTCGGTGGTGGGCCAATGCGTTAACAATAAGGTGCATTCATGCGTCCTTTGTTTAGGGGTTGTGCCAACTGACCAATGTGCCCCTCTTTTATATTCGTTCCCGCCGCCATTCTGTTAACCTCAACACCGATCACACTGTGCACCTAATAAAACACCAAACATTCAAGGGCAAGAGAGTGAACGATACAAGGTGTACTTCTTGTACCGACGTATTTTTTGTGCTTTATTAGGTAATCACGAACTACCTGGCCCAAACTGCAGTTTTAACACACTGTGCGGCGGCTTTCATTTCCGCGGGATGGTCGATGCCAGGTAGTTACGCTGTTGTTGGTGTAGTCATGGCGGAATTTCCAAGTTTATTTTGCTTTTTAATGTTTTGATGCGGCGTGCTTCACGTATTGTTGACTCTCGACGATATACGAACATTCTTATGTACTCTGAAATTCACAGTCACACAAGCTATCAATCATGTTTTGGATACCTTTCGAAAAAGGTGAGCGCTAAAGAAAGAAGACACCCAATAAATATTCTGCTTATTTTTGTACCTATATCTCAAATTATCAACTCGATCCCTTTTATAGCCACTTGTGCAGACACCCGTTTTTAACCATGGGTTCACCGGATCGGCAGCCGGTAGTCGTTTGAGGGTTACGTGTAAGAAGATAGCCGGCAAACAAGCGGAGGTAGCCACAGTAACGAGGTTGGCAACACTGATCTGTCAACGACAGGCACCGAGAGCGTGGAGGGAGAACTCGCGCAGCAGACCCAAGGTATGACTTCGTGCCAGCTTCGACATGGATGACGATAGTACTATCGTGCGGTCACGTAATTACTAGTCAGAGCCCGTCAAAAACTACTCGTTGACACTCGCATTGTACAGCTAAATTGCTTATCTCAAAGACCCTGGTTTCCATATCTCGAAGGCAGACATACCTCTGGCTGCCTCTACATCCAGACGTCTTGGTTTCCTCTCAAAAAGCAAGTCTGCTTCAAATTGTAGTTATAGTTACAATTGAATTTGAAATATAAACTTATAGATTTACAACCAACATAAGCATTCCGCAATGTGTTCTTAAATGTACAATACGGAAATACTGGAAACATTTTAAATAGACATTTTAAATACTTGCATTTCAAATACTGCTAACAGAGGAGAACTTATTCAATCAATAAATTTTATGCGTTCCAATTTCACTTCGATCTTCATGTCAGTAATCTAAAAATGCACACTATATTTTCATTACGGACATTAATATGAAACTAAAATACAAGATCAGAGGTTAAACTAAGAGCTGAAATAACCTTAAACTAAAATATATCAGTGCGATGTCTTGTTAAAACCGACTACCTGTTAAAGAAAGGAAAAGTTACGGTGCAATTACTCATGATTCAATGTCCATAATTTTTTTCTGCTGATTTATCTGTTTGCCATTAACATTTCTACTAACTTTCGGGCTACTTGAGGGCGTTTACATTGTGAAAGGGATAAATGTTCACTCGCCACCTTACTTCATTTATTTATAACAGTGGCGGAAAATTAGAATAACACAAAATAGCATCGGGTGCCTGGCGAGATAACGTATTATACAGTTCAACGCCACTTCCCTTATTAACATACAACGATGCGGTCGTAAAAGAAATGACTCGAATGCATTTTTTTTTTCTAACACAAAGGGAGAAAAAGGAATGAATTTCCTACACATATTCGGTTCTTGCAGGGTTCAGATGCATATAACGTGGCGCTCGTATCCAGCTACGCGTAAACGGCGCTGACAGAGTTTCCTTAGTACAAAAACAAGCTACACCCGAAATTATGTTAGTAAACAATCAGGAGGGGGCTTGCCGAATGGCCGTGCGGTGTGATTTATTGGGTAAGGTGAGGATATATTCTATTAAGTGATGAAGACTCAAAAAACTAACTCCAGCTCGTATTCTAGTGTCGCTTGTTAGTTCCGTGTGAGTATTAATTGTTTTGAGTACTTTTGAGAGGATTAAAACATTTTTGTTTGAATTGGAAGTACTAGAATAAAGGCAGAATATTTTATTGAGCTAAAAAAAATCTATAGGCCAGATATTTGGGTTTCGAAAACGGCAGTGACTGATTGGATGAAAAAGTGAGCTTATCACGATTTACTCTGTCAAAGAGGAATTACATACTTCCCCAAAATTAGCATTTTTTTATTATTTTTCAGTGGTAGCGGCTACGGGCCGGTATGTTTAGTTATATATAATTTTATTGTATATTTAGAACATCAACTTATTCAACTTTCTGCCTTGCCACTATTCCACACATCTGATTAAAAGCAATAGATTAGAGAAAGTTAAAAGTGTTTTGTTGGAGACTGCCGGTTATGTTAAACCAGATGGTCGTTAGCATAAGAGCAAGCAAACTGAAAAGGCGGTCACATATATGCTCGCGAAGAGAAAACAGCGTGACGTAAAGAATGCAATATTACCAACGAGGAACACCAAGACTAACTGCAGCCTCTGGATTTTCAAAGCCATTTGGTGAAAGTGCACTTCAGAGTTTGTGCAAGGCAACTATTTTGAAGTAGAACCGACTTCAGACACGGTCTCATTGCAGTTAATATATACTCCCCGACATGCGCAGTATTTCTCACGTGACGTTCATTGTATTCATTGTATGAGCTTGGCGCACCCTACGAAGCAACTCTACATGCGCCATTTTGAAAACTGAAAAGATTGTGTATTACGCCAGACAAAAAAAAAGAAAAAACTGTCTTTCAAACGTGCCTTTTTTTTTCTTTTTTTTTTGTGTGCAGCTTTTATTATTTTGGGGAGTGCCGATCTTTGGGAGAACGCTTACATCCTGATCTGCTAGGCTGTGTTCCGATCAAACCGCCAATAGAGGAAACTAGAAACACCGCTTAGGGAGCAAAATGGGATATATTAAAAAAAATGATTTGAGGTAAAAACATACAATTTTTCAAGTCTACCTTCACAGTGCTTTTGCCTTAAGTTACTGCTGCTAAATTCCCTCGTCTCTTTGTAAGGTCTTTTCGAATGCCTTCACCCACTTCGGGAAACTACCGAAAACGGAAATGGTGATTCGGCCGCTATATAAGGGACGCCACCAAGTAAGCTGACGGTCTGCTGCGGTTGCCTCGCATCAGGTTACTGCCACATGCGTTGTTGGTAGACGCTTACGTTTTTGTTTCAAACATCGGCCAAGATCTCGCTCACTGGGAAAGAGAGAAAGAAGGCTTGAGAAAGAAAAAAATACTAACGCGTATGTCATAGCCAGAAGCCAAACGGTCATCATTGGTTGGGGGGAGGGGAGGAGGGATAACAACTAATGGACGAAACAAATATGGAAGTGAAGAGGCGTGGTTATTCGGCGAAGCCAACATCGCGGCAGCGGATAGAGCCGGAACCTCGAGCGACTGAAGGAAGGCGGTAGAAACCATAAGAAGGCGTAGTGGGAACCTCTTGGTTGTAGAATCCAGCGTTGAGAAGCAGGCGGCACATGCGGTATGCGAGTTGTTCAAGTATTGTCGCCACGTACACCAGCACAAAGTACCATTTTATTCCGAGCCAGAGTGCAATGGGCAGGTCAAAATCTATGGTGGAGTTGGGAGGGGAAGGAGCGCAGGAATCGATTTTCTTGCGGACATATAATAGATTCCGCTCCCTGAGTAGGGGCGGTCGAGCTTAGGCTCTCGCTCACTCTGGCCGGGAGCGCTTCTGGGACATCGCCGAAACCATGTCTGGACCAGTCTGACTAAGGGCGCCGAGCCGTAACCGAAACTGAGCCGCAACTGGAACTGAACCGGAGCCGGAACTGAAACGCTTATTCTGCCCGAACCGGAGCAGGTCCTGAACCGAAATGTTCCGCGCCAATTTGGAGCTGAATTTGAACCGGAGCAAAACAAAAAAACCTGCCATCCCGGTCGCCAATCGGGTGCACATTCGCGCTACTCTTCCGTGCGCCGTGGGCCGGAAATTTGGAGAGGCTTAGCACTGCGGAGCAAGGTGTTTCCACTAACGTAAATATATTTGTAAGCATATTTTACAAAGACGAAAGCTAAGTGCTCTTACTGACTGTCACGAAGTCGACCTGAGCCGCTCAGAGTCACCGTTCGCTGACACGCGCCGACGGGATGACGCACCGAGCCTCCGCGGAAACAATAATGCAGCATCAAATTCGTGTTTACTATGGTTGATCGAGCGTCATTTCATCGAAACAAGGGAAAGTGAGTTTTATCGAAAAGGGAACGGAGCTTAAGAAAAGGCTCCCCAACTTCGCGCGTGCCTCACTAAAGCGCGTGTTTACCGCCCCCCCCCCCCTCCCTCCTGGTTAACGCGGCTTTGCGCCGACACTCTGCGGCAGCTCATTGCAAAAATATTAACGCACCTGGCCCACTCGTACACCCCGCTTCGCGGCGGCAGAAGTCGCTAAAAGGAGGTTCATTCGCATTTCCTGTAAACTGATCTTCTCTGTGAGGCGATTCGTTAAACTGGGCTCCGTAAAACTTCGTTTGCTAAAACGAACTTCCTAAACCGCATGCCACCGATCAAATTCATCCACCTCGGGCGCGCCCGCCGGACGGGAAATACCTAGAAAATTCGACGAGACTCCCCACGCGGCACTACCGCGAGAGACGGAATGCCGCATGGCGCCGGCACTCCCGCGAGACGCCAGTAAACATAAGCAAGAGCTACACAGAGCGAAGATACGACTATCCGACCCCGACAGAGCCGCCGTGACTCCCAGATGAAGACGAAAAACGTTCTAGGGTTCTAGCGTTCTCGCATGAAAAACCTCCGGCCATTCACGGATGTTCGCATGCCTTCCGTGTGTTTCGTCTACACTTTGGCGTGAAATCAGACTTGGGAAGTAATCCGTTACTAGTAACGGATTACTTGTAATCTGTGACATTTTCAAGCAGTTTTTTGTGTAATTTCGTTACAAAATATTGGTAACGAATCACTTTAATTACTCGTTACTTTTTTTTAAATGTGAACATAATACAGAACTAGAGCGATCTGAGCAGAACATTCTGCAGCATAGAGAGAGCAAGTTTAACTAAGTAGAAAACATGAAGAAGGGGAGAATAGCCGTATAGAATACACGACATTTTGCAGAGCCGGTAACTAGAACTAGAAAAACGGGCAAAGCATGTACAAATATACGAAAGACAAAGATCAGGCAAGACAACACCGAATAGGCTCTCCTTCGCCTTCCGTCGTGTCTTTTTCTTTTTTTTCTCCCGGGCTGAAGAAAGCTTTTTGTGTTTATTTGTTTTTGACTTTTACACCGTTTTAACCTTTCCAGCTTCTTCGACGTCTCCCACCACCTGCACAGACATCAAACGTGGGTCTGTACCCCCTCGATTCGCGGGTTCACAACTCGCGTAACCGACGATGCAGCCTCGCACGAGGGGGTCAAACTATCTTTGTCTTTGTTGTGCGCTACAGTATTCTAGCATGCTCTTGACGCACGGTTGAAAAGCGCCCGGCGCGAGTCTAAGAGCATCGTCTTCGAGGGTACGGATGATACTCTTTTGGTTTACTTGTCTGGGCATGGTGGTCGAGTCCACTCCCCATTTTCCGGTCAACTGTCAACATAAAGGGAGGGGGGGGGGGGGGGTAGGTTCATCTAAGGAGTGTTGACATAGAAAGAGAGAAAAAGAAAGAGAACGCGTAAAAGTGCTTTGATTTTTTATTGTTTTGCGAGACCGATAACAACCGCTTCTCTCCTTCTCTATGCCCTCCCCTCCCCTGGCCTCCACGATTATTGGTATGAAAGTGAGAACCGATGAACGGTCGATAACCCGTAACCGCCACTTTTTCTCTGACTGGTCGAGTTTGCGCTCATGCAGTGTCCGTCGTCTCCATGGCTATCTCTTTACACGATGTTCAAAATTCAGGTCATTAAGCAAAACGAAAACCTAACCAAACCTAACCTACCCTAACCTAACCTAACCTAACCTAACCTAACCAACCTAACCTAACCTAACTCAACAACGTACCCTACTGAAAAACTATCGATTTGTGCTAAATCGGATGCTCCGAAAATTTTCTCCTTTAGGATTTCATGCAGTGATCCTCACGTCCCCCGTTTTACGAAATTACGTAGCGAGAAGGCAAATAATAAATTAAGCTATAATGAAACAATCTTCGGCAAATAACTCAAAGTAAACGCACCTTCGTAGAAAATGACATAAGACATTATTAGTATCGTTATAAATAGCAAAATGGAATATAATTCATTTTGAAAACCATGCACGTCATGAGTAAAGAAACAATTTACCCTGGAAGTCATTTCTGCAGAGAATTTCGAATATCACGGAAATATTTTTTTATGTGTCAGTGGAATCAGAAATGCGTTAGATATGAATTGAGTTCTTGAAGCGACAAGACGATTGTGGGGCGATATGCAAAAAGCCAACGTCCAAGAAAAGGTTTATTACCGTGACAATGGTAACAACTGTAGGTTATGAAAGGCGCGCTCATTGTGGCATGCTTTGAGAACATATTTGTTTATGCTCGTTATCGATACGGTGCGGCGCTGCCATCTTGGAATCACATGACGCGGCCCGCAGAGAGCAGAGAGGAGCGTCATGTTTTTTCGTCGCGTTCTACCCCAATTTTAGGCCTTTCTTCATGAAGCGTCGTCTGATACTTATTTTACTACCCGACTTCATGCCATTATTTTGTCCACAACTTCTGCACTTGGTTTTAGAGCAAATTAGCGTAAGCACTGGCACACGTTGAGTATGTAGATGATTATAGCAAGCGCCGAGGTATATATTAATATGTATGATCACGCATTTCTGATCTCAAAAAAGGCAAATATGGCCACCTAAAGGAGTCAGTAAGCCTGTTTCTTGAAAGCATCGTGCTCTGACTTCCTAACAAATTTAAAACACTGGCTTTTGATTACATGGGGGGATCATTTTTACAGTATAGACATCCGGTTTATTGACGCATTTAAATATAATACACATTATGCTCAGTCTCATGTCTGCAGCCCCAGGGGAATAACCTTACGAAGACAGCTGGTGAGGGCCTGACAAAACAGCCTGAGGCACGCAATATGTGACGCCGAAAAGAAGTCGTCTGCATAGAAATCACTTGAGTTCAGCGTTGCAGATTTAAAGTAAAAAGCGTATATGTTGAAACAGATATATATCTTTCTATCGAAATTTATGGAATTGTGACTGGCATTTTACTTGAGTTAAACTTGCTGAAGGTCAATGATCTTGTGCGATTTAATTTTATTTCCCAAGTCACATCGTAGACAGACGTCAGACTTCGATTGACGAGTTTCTCCACTTATCTCATACTCTCAATACATTAAATGGAAGTCTCCGTATAACTAATCGTTTGCTAAGCTCAATATTGTGAAATTCTGCCAACAAATACTCTAGATGTGCTGATAGTTGAAAGCAAATTTATACTCGACTAGGATGGACCATCAAAACCACTCTCGAGTACTTAATTTATTGAAGGAAACCGATGAAGACAATATTACATCTTTT